TTTACTTAAAACCGAAAAGGTGACATAATCTGTGTTGTACCCTTTGTGTGTTGACGTGCTGTAGAAAAATTCTGCACAAGCATCTCTATGGGCTGATAGGTGTACCATGATAGAAGAACAACGTTGCCTTCTATATATCACACCACAACTATATAGATGCAGAGTAAAAGCTAGCATAATAGTGCCAGGTTATTGGGTGCAAGGTTAATCATTGCCATCAGTGGTCAGTAGCAATCAGCTGTAAGCAAGAGACTGGTCTGTGTTTCTTAGATGTTATAGTTCATGTAGCCTATATAATCAATGCACTTTTCTCTGAATACCATTGCTTTGAAATTCTAGGACTGTCAGTTACAGCTCTGAGTCATTGCAACATGTCCAGTTCATATCTTATGCAACATGTGGCAAGATACAACAGCAAGAGCTCAAATTATGTACACTAACATACATTATATATACAACATTAAAGACAAGGGAAGGAAAGGGTATGGATGAGACCATACTCTCAGCTTGTTCAAGCTCACCACAGCGAATAAAACATATTGATGTGGTTAGATATCCTCAGTACACAGTTCTCTTGCAGCAGTCAATAAGGAAAAAATAGCAACCCCTCTACAATTTTGAAATCTGAGAGAATGGCCTTGCAATAAATATTACATTGGAGTTGACTGAACTAAATGATCAATTGTAAGGATGTAGCTGGCATGTTGAACAGTGTTTCTAATATTTTGATTTCCCCTAGTATGTAAATGGGTCGGTCACACATAGCATTAGTGTGGTGGTTTCTATTTTTCAGAGGTGTAAACCACGAAACAAATTTCCTGTTTGTGCCAGTGTTTGTCTGCAGCGAGTGCTCTATGCATTTTTAAAAAGCAGATCACATTTGACCCTTCTTTGTCTTTCAGTTTTTTTTATCATTTCACACTGTGGGGTTTACATTTATCTCACCTGCTGAATCCAAACTCATTCACTTTTTTTACAAACAGGAGCCAAGCTGAGCTTAATGAGGCCATGAAGGCAGATGGGTGACAGAGTTGGCACCTCCGCGAGCCACATCAATGCCTGCTAGGCATTGACGCTACCCCTTTGTCTGACACCAATTAGCGAAAATACAGCAGACGTTTCGAAATTTGAATAGAAGCTTTGTAGTTGACCGGTAGTATATCTGAATTTCTGCCTGAGGAGTGCCTTATTTAGCCAAGCAAAGTAGAGTAGCCAAGCAAGGAAACCCAGAGTTTTGAACCGTTGGCTGAACTAAAGCAACTTGCTAGATGCTACCTTGGGCTCTGGTAAAGTGTCAGGGGCATTTTTCAGACTAAACAAGCAATCAAAAAAATTATCAACAATGAAAATAATCATCAGTTGCAGGCACACCAAGAGGGATAAAAGGCTGAACAGAACACAGCACATTACTCCAGCTTGTGGTGTCATTGTACAGTAGTCTTTAGAGCTTTTGACCTGGGCCGTGCGATAAGAGTGTTCTGCGTATCACCTGCTCTGAGCTCAGAGCGTCAGAGACCAGGAGTGAAACAGGCTTTGTCAGAAGAATGACTCTTATCTGGACCAGCAACCTTTGAGACTGCTTGCACCACGCTGATTAAGCATCAAGAAGGAGCCATCTATCGACATTACTGCCATTATCAATACAAACTCGGAACATCAGCTGACTAGAAAATTGCTCAGGTTGCATTTTAGGAATACTAAAGGCATCTGAACACTAAATTATTATGACAAAAACATTTAAAATGGAGCAAAAAATGTTTATCATGTGGAATATTAAATTTAGGGACATTTTCAAACATAATTAAGGAAATTCCTGGCAGACAACTATTTTGGGCAAAATCACAAAGGTAGGCCTTTGGTACTGGGTCAAAGATCCAGCTGGATTGCAAACATAATCTGGGTTTAATTTAAGACAATATCATTGCTAAACAGAGACTATAATGTGTTTAAAGTAAGAAGTTGGTGTATTTTTTTTAGCATCAACAGTTACATAAGGCCAGCTGATTTCTAGCTAAACAAATATGATGGGATTTATTGCTACTAATAAACAGGAACTTCTTTGTCCATGATCTACAACCAGTTTTACAGTGACCATCAAACAGCCAGACAGATGTGGGGTAATTGCCTGGAGCTGATAAATATTTAATCAGCAAATCCACCATTTGATCAGGCCCTGGCTGAGGTTCAGAGGTCACGTCATTGTTCCAGCTGCCTCCATGATGGAGCACTGTTCTCAAACCAGCAGGGGAGGTTATCTCAGCTGTGAGCAACAGTGCGGTGATCTTGCTCATTTTCTTTTCACACACCATTTCAGATCGCTATACCCAAGTCTACTTAACTGTCTTGAAATGGTTTTGCAATGTCACATCTGTTGAGGTCGCTTCTGCTTTAATACAGATATTTGGACCAAAGCCCTGGTCACAGAGTGTCACTGTAGGTTGCATCTCCCTGTTGGTTATACAGCTTGACAGCAACGCAGGAAAATCCACTCTGAACTCAGATAACCTAAATCATTGGAGGAGCAGAATGAAGGTTCTGATTAGTGATAGGGGACATTATCTTCTCCTTTTACGAGCCTCTGTAGCCATTTACTGCTCTTAAGTCTGTTCCAAAGATAATGCAGTGTACTAAAGTGCACAGTTAAATGTTAGGGCCTGCCAACATCAGAAGAACATGTTACTTGGTTCAGAAGCTCTACAGTTCTGAAGGCTGGTGCAACAGCAAATGCTATAACAAATCAACAATCAAAAAGATACACACAATCTAGTGTAAATCTTTGTTAGATGTCGCGTCAATAAGGTCACTGCAAGAAAAGGCAATATTATGAATCATGGTAGAGTTTTATGTAGAGTTAAAAGAGGATTTTGAGGTACTTAGACTTTATTCCATTTCAGATAAATAAGCTTTCTTCACTTCACTACATTTATCTTTTGGATATACAAACTATAAATATGCAGACATATTATTATTATATATGCAGATTCATATTTCACATGTAAAACAATGGAAAAGCTCATTCACGATAATGCATTACAAAAATTTAATCTAACATGCAGGTAAGTACACTTACTGCTAAATGCTTTTACAAAAATTCCGAATGCACAAGTATTTTAAATGTATTATGACTTCTACATTCATTATTTTAATGCTTTTTCCACTATGATTTTTAAGCAAGGTATCTAACCCATCAGTTACTGGTGCACACATGAACTTGGTTGCATCGCTTTTCTCAATTTCAAATGAAGTTTCATGAAAGGGACAGGGCTGGGACAGGGGACAAGCTTCCCATGCTGGGTTTACTGATTTAGCTGATGCTTTTATCCAAAGTGACTTACAATTGCCACATATGTCAGAGGTCGCATGCCTCTGCAGTAATTAGGAGACACTTTTGTTTACATGTCGCAGGGGGAATTGAACCCAGGTCTTTCACACCAAAGGCATGCGTCTTATCCACTGTACCATCACCACCCCATGTTCATCAACACAGTTGTAACATCTACCACCATCATAAATGAAAGAGGATGAGTTGACACAAATTTTAATATCAAAACTTCATGGGTATACAAATTGCAGCTCCTTCACAAACTGAAACATACAGTGCTTGACACGTTTGGGGTGCTGAGATTGAAATAGGCCTGCACACCGCAATCTCACGTTAAGACTGTGTATGTCATTTGGAGCGTAGGTGTTGAGTTGACCATCTGAGTTTCAAGGCCTGTTTGTAATGCTAAAGCTACCATTGCCCAAGATATAGAGGTCATTCACCCTGTTTCTAGATATCTAACCGCCCACACCATGACAAACATAGGATGGAAAGAAAAGTTGTTTTTACCTGATACTATTCATGTCAAGGATTACTTTTTGGTACCTATTATCTAATGTTCCATAATTATTATTAATATGTGTTTATTAGATTTAATGTAGCCTACCTAACATCAAAAATAAGCATTTCTAATAAGTGACAAACCAAAATGTGAGAGGGGAGGAAATATGTGTTGAGAAGTAGGAGATATTTGAAAACTTACTGCAATTGGGCCATATTAAACCAGACAGTGAAAATATTTTTCTGTATTCAGTGCGTTACCACAGCTCCTGTCAGAGGGGTGGACTAAAGACTGCTTGTCAAGTGAACCAGTTATGTTGCATCAGTCCTCCCCTCGCCTGCCCTCTTGTGGTTAGAACCCTGAGTAAAGATTTATCAGGACAGAAGTCAAAGTAAGAAGTGTTTATTCGTTTGAAGCTGTAACCCTGCTCTGTGCGCGCACAACACCAGATGATATTTTGAAAATCTTCTGCAAGATACTGGACGGGAAACATATTCTAATTTACTCGGTTGCGGACAACAGCCAACAATGGTTTGCATGGGAAGAGTGTCAACAATCTGATATCTCACCCTGACTTCCAGGATAGGACAAAGGCTGCATTTAGCAACACAGTGTTAATGCAGCCCCCAGCTGTGACTAAGAGTCTTGGGGACAGCAAGTGCAATTTGCCACACCACAGGGATCCTTTAATGTAACATATGCAAAACACTTAAACTCACTCCTACTCAACTGCTTCGAGACACCTTGAGCTCATTCCCTACAACACACACACCCACACTTGTTTTCATTAAAAACAGCTGTAAAGTGGTATTTCAGTCATTGACATCATTGCTGGAGATTTACAGAGACTGTCGCTTTCAGGTACAGTACACAATATTAAGCACATATCTGCTCAACTGGAAAACAAATGTAAGACATCTCATAGTACACATTGCATCATGGGTTATTGTTGTCTTTCCACATAAGTAAGATGTAGCTCTGAATTTTTAATGCATTAAAATTGGTACATTTATTTAAAAAAAATCCCCTAAATAGAATTTTAAAATAACACAAAAGCCACCAACGACACTGTTACCCACACCGTAGCACTGTACTGTATGTTCATTTTGGCGAATTAGGGGTTTACGAGGATGCCTGAACGCCTCATGCGGCTCAGCCAATCGCAGCAACGTTTTCATCCACAACAGGAAACGGGGGAAGCGTCCTTGGAGATGTTGTTAGTGTTGTAACTTTCGCATTTTTCTCGCCTCTGCGTACACAATATGTCTGTGTCAAACAACTGACAGCTAATCTATACTGCCAGAGAGGCTAATGAGAAAACGTAAAGTTTGGAAGGTAAACCGCTTATCACGAACTAGCTGTTCTCATGAGGCTGAGCTAACTTTAAGTAGCTAGATGGCGCCCAGCTTGCTAACGTTGAAGTTAGCTGAGATGCTAGCTTAAGTAGCTTAGCTCACCCCTTTCATATCTGTCCCACGAATATACGATATTTTTTTTATATCTATCGATTTGCTGGTGTGGCTTTACAGATGCACATTTCCTCAAAGGCTCAAGAATGTGCTTTATAATACGCCCTGGCTTTTGTTTGTCAAACAGTATAGCTAGATTCAAGAAGTTAATATGTTAATCTTAGCTGAAAATATGGCATGGTTAAATTTTAGTTCTCGCAGGAAGCAGGGCGTATTTTGCACAGCATAGTGAAGAGCTCAGGCTGCCGAGGGAGACGGGCAACCCTGTGTAACGTTAGTTGTGTGCCTCTGTGTTACATATAGTGTATCTTCCTTTCTTCTTACAGTCATCCGGGTTTGGCATTTACCCTGCGTCTCTGCAGTAACCATGACTGCAGCTGCTCTCATAGGAGACCAGCTGATCCTTGAAGAGGACTACGATGAGACATATATACCCTCTGAACAAGGTATACAGTGCTGAGGGTAATAACCTGTGCAAGAATATGACTGGCTCACTGTGCCTACGTTATCCCAAAATAAAAATGTTACAGCCACAGGTAAAATGTACTAGCAGCTCATTTGTGGCAAATGTGAAATCCTCAGCTTGATTGGTTTACACTGATATTGATGATAATAATAGTTCCTTCTTGATACCAGCTTTATAGAAACCCTGCAGTAGCTTTATGTACACTATTTATTCAATATCAATATAGTGGGTTTTTATCCCATCCCAAACTCTTTCATCATACAGCTTGATTATGTTTTGTTGTGGGGCTGCCTCACTTTGCCCTACTGAGCTGTGAAACCCACTAGATGCTGTATAATGTACTACTTTTACATTTCAGCCCGTCTCATATCACTCACTTTCTCTCATCAGAGATCCAAGAGTACGCAAGAGAGATTGGCATTGATCCCGACAGTGAGCCGGAGCTCCTGTGGCTGGCCAGGGAAGGCATCGTTGCCCCTCTGCCTCCCGAGTGGAAGCCTTGGTAAGTAAGGCTTCCACTACTAACTGCAGCTAATCAAGGGTGAAGGTCTGTTCTTGACACTTAAAATAGGTGGAGGTGCATAGCCAACTTCTCTTAACAACATCTCCGAGGAGAAGTCAGCTGCAGTGAAATTGTCTAAATAATGCCTTACATGACAACACACTGCTAACGCAGCAATATCAGGCGGATCATGGATAAAATCAAGGCCCAATCCACACTATAGCATTTTGTTTCAAAACGGAGAACCTTTGCTACGTTTGCACTTCCCGTCCAGACTTAAAACGGTAAAAACAAAGACCTAAAACGGAGAAGTTTGAAAAAAACTGCCGACCACGTTTTTCGTTTTGAAACTCCGGAGGGCGTTCAGAGGACTTCAGAAACGATGATGCAGACGCTCACGTTTGGCTCTCTGATTGGGTATCAGAAGTCATGCAAAATAGAAACAGGATGCTTCAGAGTTTTTGACAGGGTATTTAAAAAAATTAAAATATTTTGTACCGTGCAAATAACACTTATCTGCCGACACTTATACTGTGCCTGGCGCCGTTTACTAGTGATGGGCAAAGCGAGGTTTTACGAAACACTGAAACGTTTGAAGCAATTGTTCTGGAATTGTGTCGAGGCTTCGAAACACTCCGACACCCGTCTCCACGGTGACATCTACTGGTCACTTTTGATATCGACACATCTTGGTAGGGGTTTCATTGAAACAATGATTGACTAGCGTTTTCAATTCTAAACGTCTTATCAATACACGACCAAGACGATTTCGGAGAAATCACCATACAACAAATAAACAAATGCCTTCAGATTGTCAGAGACAGCAGAGGGTGTTTGCAATAAAATCTTTTTAATAAAACACATCTGTGTGTTGTTTAATAAGTAATCACTCATTTAGCTGACGCTTTTCTCAAAAGCAAATCACAATTGCTGTGTCAGAGGGCGCAGCTTGAGAGCAACTAGGGGTTAAGTGTCTTGTTCAGGGACACATGTATCACAGTGGGAATCTCTCACACTAAAGGCATTTGTCTTAACCACTACTAATGTCTCACATTTGTTATATGTCAAGAATTTTATTCAGAAATATTCAGCTGTGGCTGAGTCTGGTTTTTTTTTCATAATTGACATCCCCAGCCTTGGAATAATTTGGTGACATGGAGCATTTGTTGCTGGCAAAAAGTATGTTTTGGCCTACAGGTGCGGATATACTACAGCACGTTGCTCCAATAAATCAAAGGATTGTGGGTCCTTGGAAGAAATCTGTCAAATGAGATAGAGGCTGATGTGCGGTTTGTTCCAAACACTGTGAATCAAGCGTAGAAGCGGCAGGTGTGTCACCTGTTGAAACGCACTGAAGCCTGGCTTCACTATGGTCACGTGACATTGACGTTTTGAACCACGCTTTGAAGCAGTGTTTCGAAACATCTGTGCTTCGGTATCTTGACACAGCGTCGACAAGTCAGTATCGAGCGTCCCATCCCTACCGTTTACTTTGCGACGACTCCCGGTCTGTTTTCCAGCGCCACAGTCCCTTGTTACATTCAGTAACTGTCCCAGCTCCTTATTGGACAATGCAAAAAAAAATTGGTCTGATTGTTCTTTTACATTACTTTATTCTTTTACCAAATCTTCTGTAACTACGGAATACACCATCTGCTTCACGTTTACACCGGCACACGCATGTGAATGGCCACTACATGTGCGTTTTCACTCGTTTTAATGTAGCCAGAGATCAACTATAAAATGCTGGTGTGGATGGAGATCATATTCGTTTTAATTCTCTGTTCCTAAACTAAAACGAAATAGTGTGGATGGGGCCCAAAGGTATAGTAGGGGTTTGTTTAAGATTAATAGCATCTAAACCTACCTTTTTTGCTATAATTTAAGCCACTATTGGGTTTATTCCATGGTTTCAACTTTTGTCCTCTGTGTGTTCCTTTGGACTCAGAGGCTGAATTATTGAGAAAAAAAATAAAGTAATCATTTGTGGGATATAGGTTTTGTATATTTCAGCTTTAATCTGATGCTTTGAGAAAATGCAACTAATAATAAAGTAGATTTTATACTTGTAAAGACGCATCTCTCCATTCACCCATCCACCCATCATCTCTTCCTCCCTTTCCTGGGCCTTTTTGGAGGTGCTGAAGTGACCCCCCTCCTTTCCCCCCTCCTCCTCCCCCGCAGTCAGGATGTAACGGGGGACATCTACTATTTCAACTTCTCCTCGGGCCAGTCAACCTGGGATCACCCCTGCGACGAGCACTACCGCAGCCTGGTGGCCCAGGAACGTGAGCGCGCCCAGCTCACTGCTGCTGCAGGAGGCACAGGGGCAAAGAAGGACAAAGACAAGAAGAAGAAGAAAGAAAAGAAGGAGAAGAAAGAGAAGAAGAAAAAAGAGCCACTCAAGACTCCTGGAGTGAGTGTTTATTGTGTTTGTCCTTACCATTGATCGCTTTCTTATTTTGACTGCAATCCCTCCTCTGAACACAGAGTTTCTTTGGACGCTTGTTTTTCCCCTACAGCCTCCGCCATACTCCTAGTTGGTGTACTGTTGGTGGTGATGAAGCTGGCGTTGGTTGCCTACTCCATCGCTATGGTTGCTACAACTGGCTTTATTGACATGATTGCCCACAATACGATGTTGCCAAAGTAAATCAAAACAAACAAATATAACAAATAAAAAATAAACATTAAACAGTTCTCAGTAATAAATATTCTCTTCAGTTACTATAGTAATGGCAGATCATGGGTTTTCTATTTACATGACTCTGGGTTTCTACCCCCTTCAGCTCTAGCAGAGCAGACATGCAGCTCAATGGTGTTTAATTAATACATCAAAATGGTACGCAGGACTAAAGGAAGGTGAGGCAGGCATGGGTCAAAAAAAGGAAAGCAGTCCATACAGGCAAACAAATCCAGAAGGGAGTCAAAAAACTATGTGGCTTCAAACACTAACGAAATGGCAGGGCCGCTTGACAACATTGTACAAAGACGAATGGCAATGTGTGAGAGAAGGAGAACTACACACAGGGCAGACAATCAAACAGGCTGGAAAACACACAAAGGTAAAGTAAACTAAAATTACACAAGACGCGTGAGGAAGGACACAGTGGGGATTCTAATTTTAGCAATTTATTTAAGCGTTTCTGATGTTGATGGAAATTCCAGGTCTTGGTGGTTACTCTCTGACAGTGCCTCTCATCCTACAGGCACTGAGTTCAGCCTTGGGACCACTAGCATCCCCGCTGGGCAGCCTGGCTCCTCTGAGAGGTCTAGATGCCCCAGGCCCCGGCCCACTCCCTGGTTCTGCTCCCGCTCTCCGGCGTTCCCTTGGCAGCTCTGGGGGACTGGAGCCCCTAAAAACCCCCCTTGGGGTAAGATCCTAGTGCTGTATGAAGGACCATGTGATACGATTTTGAATTTGTAGCCTCTTCCAGACCCTTACAGTATACCACATGCTGTGATTAATGTCTTCCTTTGTCAGGGCCCTCGGAGCAGTGGAGCATCTAGTGTTTTGGGCAGTAGGCAGGAGGAGAGGGTGTCTCTATCTCTGCCTGGCTTTGATGATGATGATGGTGACAATGAGAAAATCTCAGAAAACGAGGTACGGTACAAGATGAATATAAGATGATGAAAGTAGTTGTTGAAAGTAGTAGTAGTTATTTAGCTGCCTATGGCTGTGAAATGCATAATTTAGGTCCCAACAAACAAGACGTTGTCACTTTTTCAGCCGAGTCCCCGTTGTTCAGATCGATTATTGAAGAACCTTCATCTGGACCTGGATGCCCTTGGAGGAGGCTTACAGTATGAGGTAGACAGAATAAAAACATCTCATAAGAGGAAAAAAACATATATATATATATATATATATATATATGTTTTTCTTAATGTTAAGAGAGATGCTCTACATGTACATAGGGTAAGGGTTGGGGACAGGCAAGTAGTGGTTATGGTTAGGGTAAGTCTCTAGGATAAGAAAGTGATGGAAACTTGACTGTGTGTGTGCTCTAGGACAGTGAAGCCAGTGGTGGAGCTCCAGCTGAGGAGAGGACAGAGCCAGAGTTGCAGGACTTGGCCCTGTCTGGAGACCACAGCCCCGAACCACCATCCCAACAGGTACAAACACACACACATACAACATCATCCACTTTTGCAGTGGCTCCCAGCTGTGTTTTTGTTTTTCTTGCTTGCTCTGCCATTTCTGTGTTCGCTGTGTAACACCTGTGCACCATACTCTTTGAGCTATCTGCTAACATTTCTTGATAATGCACAAGTTGACAGGAACTTTAGAAGCACAACCCTGGCCTCCGAGGTATATTCACAATCATGGAGGTTGTATTCTATCTTTGAGTATGTTGTGTTGTAAATGGATCCCAAGTGCAGCCTTTGATAACTTTGAATTGTATTTTCAGTATTTGTTTAATCAATTCATGAAAAGAACATAATAATGTGGGATACAGATGCTAAGATATTTTTAAGTTTGGGGCAGTCCTAATTGTTGAAATATTCCTACACATTCTCAGTGTATCACTACCATAGTGGACTTTTCTTCTTGTCTCATGTAACTCTGATTCTAAACCATCTGTTATTCCTTTTCTCTCTCTCTCGTGTGACCTCTTTGACCTTTACACCTCTCACCTTTGCACCGTGACCCGGGATGTGTTCTCGTAGCTGCTGTGCTGCTGGGACCTGTCCTATGGGCATGGCTGTTACTGTGTCTTCCTCTTTGTCCTGCTGTCTTCCTACTGTCGCTGTTACTGCTTTGCTGTCTGAAACTATGTATCAGGAGCATGTGTCATCACCCTCAAAACAATGAATACTGCAGTTTCCACTCGGATTTATGCATTTACCCCCATTGGGATACTCAGACAGTAACTCCCCACCACTGCCATTAGATTCTGAGAAGCCAGTCCTAAATTATGAATATCACACATGTTTTACATACATACATATTAATTAAAGATGTAATGTCTTTATTTTCCAATGATTTAGCAGAACTAATGTGCATAGAGTCAGTTATTTCTTTTACACGTTATGGCTTTTTTTGGAGGAGAAACGCTAAAACAGGGAAATCATCAAACAAAGCGTCTCCTGTGTGCGTCCCTGTGTTTGAGTGTGCGAGAGACCCAGAACAAGAAAATGTGTATATTGTTTTATGTGTACGTGCATGTTTGCTTAATTTAAATGTGTAATTTTGTCCCTGAAAAATGCACGATCTGTCGGTTTTGCATGCGGTTGTGTCAAGATCATCGCCCCCCACCTTCTTTCAGCGGGGGGTCACAATATTTTTGTTGCCTCCTTCCCTCACCTGCCGTCCTCCGTCCTTTTTCTCCCTTGTGTCTCTGCACGCCTTCCTTTGTGCCTCTGTTTGGGACGGATGGACTGGTCTTCCTATTCCCCTCCACAAAGGACTCTTTGAGGGGCCGCCACTTCCACCTGTCCTCGCTGGTGGGCAGCAGAAAGCATGTCAGTGTGAAGAGCGCCAGTCCCATCAGCCCTGAACCTGAAGAGGAGGTAGCAGAGGAGTTAAATGAGGTGGTAGAGGAGGAGCAGGAGGGAGAGTGTTGGAACACAAGGATGTTCAGATAGAGAAGGGAGAGGATGAAGGAGGAGTGGAAGCAGAAGAGGAAGGGACGGAGGAGAAGGGTGAGGTGGGAAGTGACCAGGAGGGAGGAGAGCTGGAAGATGAAGATGTTCAGGGAGAGAAGGGAGGGGATGAAGGAGGAGTGGAAGCAGAAGAGGTAAGGACGGAGGAGAAGGGTGAGGTGGGAAATGAGCAGGATGGAGGAGAGCTGGAAGAAGAGGATCTTCAGGGAGAGAAGGGAGGGGATGAAGGAGGAGAGGAAGCAGAAGAGGGAAGGACGGAGGAGAAGGGTGAGGTGGGAAATGAGCAGGATGGAGGAGAGCTGGAAGAAGAGGATCTTCAGGGAGAGAAGGGAGGGGATGAAGGAGGAGAGGAAGCAGAAGAGGGAGTGATGGAGGAGAACGCAGAGATGGGAAATGAGCAGGAAGAGGGAGAGGCACAGGGTGAGGAAGCAGATGAGACAAAAAGCAAAGAAGAGGGGGGTGAGATGGAGGAAGAGCAGGGAGGAATTAAAGGGTTGATAGAAAGCAAGAAAGAAGAGGAGGAGGTAGAGAGCGACGAGGTAGAGGAGGAATGCTGTACAGGTGATGATGAAGAGAAAGATGAAGGGGGTGGTGGAGTGTCAGAAAACATGGAACATGTTGAGAAGCAGGAGAGCACTGAAAGAGAGGAAAATGGCAGTGATGAGGAAGTAGAAAGCAGCCAGCAGGATGAGACCAAAGACAGAGAAGAGAAAGTGGAGAGTGATGAGGCTGCGGAGAGTTTAATGGAGGAGAAAGAAGAGGTGAACGAGAAGGCGCAAGTAGAAGAGGGGAAACAGGACTTTGAGGAAGGTAGCGAGGAAGTTGTGGAGAAATGCTTCCAAAGTGATCAAGATGAAGGGAGCGAGGAGGAAGACAAAAATGACAAAGAAAGAGATGAGCTTGAGAGAAGCATAGACGACGATGAAGAAGAAGAGCAGAATGAGAGTGACGAAGAGGAGGTAGAGATAAATATCGAAAGAGAGCAAGAGAAGGAACAAGCAGAGGAGGAGGAGGAAGAGGAGGGTGAGAGCGAGGAGGCTTTGGAGAGATGCTCCCTGAGCCAAAGGAGACTGACAGAGAGTGATGAGGAAGTGTTAGAGAGATGTGTACAGAGCGAAGGAGGAGAAACGGAGGAATCAGATGCCCAGAACCCCCGAACTGCATCAGACAGTGAGGAGGAACTCGTCGAGGTTTTTGAGACTGGGGCCAAGCTAGGCAAGAGGACGATGCTGCGTGACCTTAAAACGCTTGACCAAAAGAGAAACACTCTTGAAAAGAGGAAGAATGTGACAAAAAAATGTCCCCTTCCTGCAGAGGTAGGGTTTGGTGTTGCCTCTGTGCTTGCTCACCCACCTCCGTTCACTACCCGACCCCACCCTGGTCCTGCTTGATCTCTGCAAGCAGGTGCAAGTAGCTCCCAGAATTCAACTCCAGTGCCTTAGGGGCTGTCTGTGTGATTCCCAGCCTGGATGTCATTACTCTCGCACTGGAATATCAGTCGGTCAAAGGACCACTTGAGTCCATTTGAGCCCCTGAGGACTGGATTGGATAGTTTTGATCCCTTTGCCCCTGTGAAGGCTTTTGGTAGTATATCTGCTTTTAGATTGGCGGTTGATTTTGAGCTATTTGACCAAAAACAGGACTCCCGTCTCCTGCCATCGCATCCCCCATTTTCAGAGTCTGCTTGCTTGACTGTGTGATTTTACAGTATGGCTGCCAGCTCTCCGGCCTTGGTTGTGTTTGCATGCACGCTCTGCTTTTGCCCTCAGCATGCTTCGATGTTTAGTGTTGCTTGTGCAATTTTGTTTGTTAACCCATGAAGACTGTTTGACCGAGTGTGTGTGTGTGTGTGTGTTATTGCAGGAGTCGGAGGGCAGTAAGAACATTGAGGAGAGTTCTTCCTCCATAGATGTCAAGGTACTGTGCAGTGTGACACCCATCCATTGCCATTCATTCATTCAACTATTTATTGTCAGCCAGTTTTGTAATGGTTCTGACTTTGTATCCAAAAGCTGTCGGAGAAGGTTCTGGACGTCAACGACCTTTCCGGCACTGTCAGCCCACTAAAGAAAGATGACAAAGAGGGAACAAAAGAAGAAGAGGAGAATGAGGACGGGGCAAAGACAAAGAAGGCAGAGGCTGCCAAGAGGTTGGTTGTTTTGTTTTGGCTAGTTTCTCTATTTTATAACCTTGGTGTTGGTATAAACCTTTCTCCCTCTTCAGACATTTGCAGGCTGCTGGCAAAGACAAACCTCCAGCTCCGAAAGTTGACCGACTCGTCCTTCACCAGTCCAGCCCTTCTCCCTCCCTCTCCAGCCCGTCCCACTCAGAGCAAGGTGCCAGACTCCAACTAAAAACCGAAGATCTCGGCATGTTGCTGGGGCTACAGAGGCCAGAAACCTCCAGAGGCCGGCTGGTCCGCGCTGCCAACACCCATCTCGAAGATGCTGAATCCCCTTTAAAAACCAAGAGAGCTCTCTGGAAGATGAGCCAAGCTGGAGAATCCGAAAAGACGGAGAGAAGAAAGAGAGTGAGAGAGAAGAGCGGGAAGAGAGGAAGAGGGCAGAGAGAGAAGAACGGAGTCTGAGAGAGAGGAAGGAGGAGATGGAAATGGAGAGGAGGAAGGCTGATCGAGAGGTGGAGGAGGAGAGGGAGCGTCTGGTGAAGGAGAAGGAGAAGAGAATGCGTCTCCTGCGGGAGGAGCTGAGGAGAGAAGAGGAGGAGGAGGAGAGGAAGCTGAAGGAGGAGAGCGAGGAAAGACTGAGGTAGGCACGGAGAGGGTAACACAATTATCAGAAGTCCTTTAAACTCAAACGTAACACCTAGAGTTTACTAAAACATACTTTCAGAACCACTCCATAATTCATAAATGCATGTGTGCGTGCGTCTCCCCAGGGCTCTGCGGCAGCGTCTCCTGACGAAAAGGAGAGAGGAAGAGGCCAGGCTGAACGAGGAGTCTGATAGGACGCTGGAGGAACTCAAAGAGTCTGCCCAGGGGGAGAGGGAGAGGAAGCAAAACAAACTCAGGTCAGACACATAAACACATAAAACAAAGGTGCTCTAGAGCAGTAGTTCAAAAATTGAGGCAAAATCTGCAATATAGATCTTCCACATCACAGTCTGATCACAAAGTCTGATCACATTGGGTGGCCTTATTATATATTGAATATCTATATATAGAATATGAACTTTGCCAATCAACTGAACTTAAATCGCTTTGCAGTTAATCACCTATAATGTCCAAAACAACATTGACGTGTGTGTCCTCGTGCTCAGGGAGGAGAGTGAAATCATGCTGAAGGAGTTACGCATCACTCTCGAGGAAGAACGAGTAGCGGAGCGCGACAGACTGGAGGCCCAGAAGAGGCAGGACATCGAACGTGTGAAAGCCGAGTTGGAAGAGGAGCTGCAAGCCGAGAAGAGGAGACTCCACGGAGAGAGGGAGGAGAAGCTGAATTCTCTGAAACAGGAGGTGACTGTGGATGATGCCGGCCTGCTTGTGTCCAGCTCTTTTGTTGATTTCAATTTGATTTAATCATCAAATCACTGTGTTAATATTATGATAGGTAGGGAAAGGTCAGCCTGAGGCAGGTTTTGTGGGTGGCTACATGTTGTGTTACACAGGTTTTAGGCACCCCCTCCAGTCAAGCTCCAGTTTTAGTTTCCTGTCAGTCTTCTGATGATTATTATGTTGCTATCACGTGTTTTAACAACAACATATTTGCCTTAAGTACACACTTTCAAAGTAAACAGTTGGTGCTGATGTGTAGTGGACAGCAACATGTTTTTAAAGAAATACACTTACAGGATTTAAAAATTTAGACTGTTAATGTTTAAATATATCAGATTTTGTGTTAATGTGCCACATATATTTATGTAAACAGCTGGAAAATACAAAAGAACCAAGAGTTTGTGTGTGTTCTAGTTTGATGACGCAGTGGCTTTGGTCTCGAGGGGCACAGCATAATGATCTCTCTGTATGTGTGTCTGCCCCTGTGTTTGCACTGTTTTATCTGTATAAAGGCCAAAGTCACAGAGAGGAGGAAGGAGCTCATAAGTCCACGACCTGAACACCAACTGGCAGAGTACCACCGAGAGGTTAGAGGACACACACACACACACACACACACACACATAGATTCTGTACAGAATGAAGTTGTCACCACCATCATCATCATCATCATCATCATCATCATCATCATCATCATCATGTGTATTTGTTTCTGAATGTGAGTTAAGGCTTTAAATACATTTTCACTGGAATGTAACTTGGGCTGTAAACCGTCTTCACGTTCGCTGTCTAGCTGGCTGATGTTCTTCAGGAAGTGCGGGAGGAAGTGCAGCGCGATCACGAGAGGAAGCTGGACCAGCTGAAGGAGGACCACAGGAGGGAGATGAACAACATCAGAGAGAAATACCTGGACGAGGTCAGAGAGCGTTTACATTTCACATTTAGCAGATGCATGCCCTTGTTCTGAACTGCTTGCAATAATGGAACCAGCAGAATATATTTAGATGAGTGTGTTATATTTTTGTTTCCAGCAGAAATCACAACTTGTCATCGTTACCCTTGGGTTTTAAACAGATTTAACAAACAAGATATAATGTTAATCTCATTAATGAGGTTTAGAGGTAGATTTTCTTAGCTGTTTCTCCCTGTTTCTAGTGTTTCTGGTAAGCTTAGCCAACCGGCTGCATCTTCATATTTACTGTGTTACTGTTACTGATATTGGAGAATCATTATCCTCCTGTCCTGAGTGTAAAGAAATATCTATGAAATTAGTTTAAGAAGTTGAGCTGCATTCCCGGTTTCAGTTTTTCAGTTTGCAGTATTTTGCAATAGAATGGCAATCATAAAATGTCGTGTTTGTGTGTTTCAGGAGACTGCACAGAGGGAGCGCTTGCTTTCTACTCTGCAGGAGGACAGAGAGCGTCTCCAGGCCTCGCATGCCGTCCAACTGGAGAAACTCCGCTTTCAGCTCGACACACAGATACAAAAGACACAGCTGACACACTCCCGCAAGGTGGGACCAGACAGAGACAAACATTAACTAACGACACACTTCTGAAACTGTGTGGTGCCATTACACATTAAAAGTCTAAAGCCTATGGCTCATCATAGGTCCTCATTTAATCTGGTAGCACTGTTTGTTTGGTTTTTAAATGGAGGGTTTTAATGTAAAACATGTCTCCAGTATGTGCACTGAAACCATATTTTGCTCACCAAATTGAGGTATAGTGAAGGGAAGCCTTTTCTAAAATATTAAACACTTAATCCCAGAGAAATAATCTCTCATTTCTTCTATTAGGAGTCAGAACTGCAGGATCTCGCAGATCAGATAGAGCTGAGAGCCAAAGAGCTGAAGAGCCAGGAGGCCATACTCCAGACCAAGGTCTTCTATACTGTTCTGTATGTACTATTAATCGCATTACACTAACATGAACGACGTGGACTAATGGTTTCTGTCTCTTATTAGGCAGCAGATCTGAAGAGGAGGAGGAAGAAACTTGGGGAGGAAGAGGACGAAGTGGACAGACAGTTAGAGGTGGGGCAGCCCGCTTTTTTCGTCATGAAAAGAGAGATTATATTCAACTTTCTGATGAACAATCAACCCCCTACCTGTGTGTGTGTGTGTGTGTGTCCAGGTTTTACCCCGGCTGATCCAGGAGAGGGATCAGCTAAAGGAGGAGTTGGAGAGGATGAGAGAGGAGAAGCATCAAGCCAGAGAACTAATCCAGAGAGCGAGGGAGGAGAGGAGTGAGGCCAAGGAGGAGGGGGAAAGGCTGAGAGAGGAGAGAGACGAAGCCAGGGAAGAGAGCAGGAGAGCCAAGGAGGGCAAGGAACGACTGGAGAGCAAGGTGGCGCTGCTGCAGGAGAGATGCGACCGTCTCAGTTGCAGAATCAGGTACTGTTTCCTACACAGGACATTCACTCAGCCTATGCTTTCACTTCCAGCTTCACCCAATAGAATTACTGATGATTATGGTCTGACTTCTTGTCCAATCAGTGAGCTGGAACAAGGCGAAGAAGTGAGTGCCTCCCCCAGACCAGAAACTAAACAGGAGAAAAAGAGGACAGTGAAAGCAGAGGTGACGGCCCCCTCCAGTGACAGGAAAGACTTACCGCTACATGTAGAAGACCTGGATGACCCCCCACTCTCCCCTGTACCTGACAGCCACAGCAGCATGGATGAGTAAGGAGATAGAAACAGAGTTATAAAAGCACATTTTTGTATTTGCATTAGTCTGAGAATTAGAAAGCTGTCAGTCACTTACTGGAGTTATTTTTTAATGGGTTACTGAAAGCTGGGAGGGGGGCAGCTTTGGAGAAGTCCCTGTCACCTCAGGTCCAGTACTGCTGAAGGTTTGCTGGTGAAGATAGGGCGTTGGTGTCAGAGGAACAGAGGCTGCGGGAAAGAGGCGATTTGTCACACTTTTATTTAAGGACGTTTCTTGCATCCATGATTTAATTTCAGCCAGGTAGCAGGGTGTGACGACAAATGATGTTACCAAGGGGGGAGCGTGTAGAGAATGTATTCGTGTAATTTTAGCGTATAGACTGTTGATAGCAGGCTTACCATTGCTGGCTTGCAAAAATATAAGAAGCCCTCATCCTGGCACCCATGTGTCCAGGTTCCGACGCTACATCTCCTCACATGGCGCATCCATCCAAAAAACCAAAGTCTTTCTGGAGAAGGAGAGCAGTCGGCTGATGGAGAGGCAGGCAGCTCTGTGGGCGGCTCAGACAAGCTCCTCCCAGGTCCCCAGCCTTGAAGGAGGGGTGACCGAGGAGATGATCAGAAACATCCAGGAGGTAGGGAGGAGTGTGACCCACCCCCTGCAGAATAATAATTGGTGCGATGACTGGTGGGATGGGGTTGATTTTAAAATGTTAAGTGCTGCCTACCTTCCCTCGTTCTGTCAGGAGGCCAGAAATGTGGTGGAGCTGCAGCGGGCGGTTCAGAGAGGAAACACTCTCCTGCGGAGGAAAGAGGAGCAGCTGCAGCAGCTAGAGAGCTCTATAGCTGAAGAGGTCAGGAGAAAACAGCAGCAGTCTGTATCTGCAGTCTTACAGTAGTGATACTTCACGTTGGTTAAGTGCTTTTATATTTCCAGTGCAAAGGTACGCAGAACCTTTAGTCATAGCTGAAGAAATCAAAGTGGAGGTGAAAAGTAATGCTTTTAACAAAGCTATAAACAAAAATTATACAATATCAAAATATATTGTGTAACAAATCTAAACTACTTTAAACCTCATTTCTATGCAGAATAGGCATTTGAATTTATTCATTTTTATTAAAAATTGTGCATCTTTCTGTGCACTTTACCCAGATTTTTTACGATTTAATCAACAGGTTAAACTCTGCATACAGGCAAATTGTAATTATATATTAACTGCTGTTTGTCTTTCTCTGTTTAGCCGCTGTTTGAGGATCTGTCCCGGCTGGCAAGAGAAAGGAAGGTGACCTTTGATGTGACTGAGTCTGACCTCAGCAGCACTGCGGAGCCACCAGATGGGACAGGTCACACATATTAATAGTTTTACCAAAGAATGTGACATACACTCTGTTATTATTGCTATATTGCTCAGATTTTGTAAACTCTTCTCAGATTATTATGTTTTTCCAGCCACACTGAAGTTGTGTTTCTCTCCATGTCTTTCTCACTGGTTCGTCAGGGGGTCATCCCACTGTCCCAGACAAAGTCCAGGAGCTAGCAGAGTCCCTGCAGCAGATCTCAGGCCAGCTTAACACCGTCCTGAGTGCGTTGGGTTCACTGGCCCAGAGGCAGAGCACCGAAGCCTATGCAGCCTTCAATCTGCCTCACTCCAGCCAAGCTCCCACCTCCGCCACCTCCACCTCTGCCCCAGTCATGCCCCAGATGCACACCCTGGGTCCCAGCTCCTCAGCCCCACCTCCCCCAGTGAGGCTCTCAGAGCCATCCTGGAACTGGGCACCCCAAGGCACCTCCGCAGCCACTCCTTTCTTCAGTACCCCCATCAGCAATGGGCTGAGGGCCTCTGAGGACCTCATCAACAGCCGATGGAGCCAGATATTCCCCAGTATGCTAACAGATGCATCATAGAATGTGTTAATCACCAATAATGAGATTTGCTAAAAGGGGGGTCTTATCAGTTTCTATCATTGTCATCAGTCCTGAAGTGTTGTTCTGTTCTCCAGGAGCAGCTATGGACCCAATCGCCACCAGCACCATGAGGACAAGCTCAGCTTACTCATCATACAGTACTGCTAGGTAACCTGCGATACGCCTTTAACCATGCTGTTATTACGGATTACATGAACATCCTTGCCGTCTTAAATTAAATGTACTTAACAATGATCCTAAAACTGTGCGTTTCTGTGTGTACCTTAGTGAACATGGTCGCAGCCTGCGGTCCATGCAGAAGTCAGTGGAGGTAGACGGCCAGAGGCTGCAGGGGCTGATCGACGGCAACAAGAGGTGGCTGGAGATGCGCAAGAAAGACACCAGCATGTATCCTTCTATCACACATACACATACTCATCCACTCACTCTTAACACATTCCACATCATCTACCATCTCCATCTCAACATAAGTAGAGCACTCGAGATTTCAATTCTTTCTGGCTGGGAAAGTAAAAAGCTTTCAGTTTTTATACTTTGATTATTATTTGATTGATTATTTTCAGTTATATTTTGGACTTGTCTGATGACCACATTATTGCCACCTGTTGTCTAAATCACACCATTACTTGTCAGACAGTTTTCTAAAATCAGCGTTGTGCCTGTTGTCGTCTTTAACTCTGCCTCCCAGACCTCTGTTCACTCGCTACCAGGCTCCTCCAACAAAGAGCAACCTGGTCCAGCTGGGCCTGGACGATAACAACCAGATCAGAGTCTATCATTACTGAGGACATGACGCACAGTTCAGTCTTGCTGTATCGTGACTGAGTCAGAGGACTTTGCATTATTAATGACCGTGTTGTGACGTTTACACACAGGGCCTCATGTGAGAGTCCTGCGCCCTTCTTTGATTCATACTTTTTTCAAGCCTTCAGTGCAAAGGTTTTCAGGGAAAGTCCGACCTCCTCTGCTGTGATTGGAGGAAGAGATGACTGCACAGGACATGGCAGTTCAGGGTTCATTGAGGCCTGAGGACTTTCCTCCTCCAACATAAGATATAACTGTGAGCAACAGGAGACTTATTTCAAGCACTTCAAGGTCAAGTTTACAGACTAGAGCTCTGTGCCAGACTTGGGCCACACTGTTTTTTTTAAATGGTCAAGTTTACTTGGATGGGAAAGGGCTGCTTCATACAGATAATCACAGAGAAGTATCCAAAGGTTTAAATATTGTAATTACTTTTTTTCTTTTACTGAAAACTTCCCAGACATGTGACTTGAATCCATTTGCTGCTGCAGGCAGGGCGTAACACGGTGCTTTACAGCTGCACATAGGTCAAGCTTTATTTCATGACAGGTTACATGTGTATTTATGCCACTGGCTGTGTAAGTGACTTGTGTGTGAACTGTGTTTTTACATAATTCAGTTTGGTTTTGCTTTGAGTGAGTAGAGTGAGAATCACTGATTTTGTAAAAGTGAAGTCAATCCACTTATTTTACATCACTTTTCCTTATTCCACAGCAGTTGGCAGCGAGCTGTTGATTAGTGTGTGAACTTTTAACATGTGCAGCAAAGAGGAATAAAAGTGTGCGTAGGGTTTGTAAATAAACACTGTATTTTTCTATAAAATATTTTAATAAATATAATTTTATAAATATTCATGTTATACCGTGTGTACTGATCTTTTTACAGTATCTCACAAAAGTGAGTACACCCCTCACATTTTTGTAAATATTTGATATCTTGTACTCACTTTTGTTGCCAGCGGTTTAGACAATAATGGCTGTGATGTTATTTTGAGGGGAAAGCAATAATTGTTATACAAGCTTTACATTGTAGCAAAGTATTTCTTTAGTGTTGTCACATGAAATGATATAATCAAATATTTACAAAAATATTACATGCGTACAATTATCCACATCCTGATTGTCATTCTGTATTTTGTTCACACAGAACAACCTGCAGGTGCAGAAATTGGCTACAAAAATAGTTATTTGAAAATGAGACCTTTTTATTCAGTAACCGCTCATTGCATGTTTGACATTAAAATCAGTTTTTGTACAGTACAAAAAAAAAATCCTTTCGCATTCAGACTTGAGGGCAGTCAGTAATACAATCATTATTCTCCTATGAGAAGGACGGTTAGAAGATCTGACCAATCAGAGCACAGTATGCGATTTACATGATTAGAACGTTAAAGGCCACTGACAGACTTGACAGAATTCATGTTCTCACAATACACGCATGCGCACGCACACACACGCACACGCGCGCACACACACACACACACACACACACACACACACACACACACACACACACACACACACACACACACACACACACACACACACACACACACACACACACACACACACAGATTTCAAAATGCAGTGTTGACTTGCAGGTGAAATATAATGTCGACAGTATAAAATAAGTTAATTTTTATAGCAAGTGTGTACACTGTCTTCATCAGCAGTAAGTAAACATTGATTACAACAGTTATATCGATGGTGGCAGCGAGAAGACAAAACACTTCAGCGTCACTCGACGTCGACCCAGCTCTTAACTGGCACATTTGTGTCCATACAGGTGGAGGGAGGGGCTACTGCCCTTTCCTGACTGGCTTGACTGGCTGTGAGAGGCGCCCACTGTACAGCCTGGGGGAAAACGCGCTACTGGATGTGCTTTTTTTTAGGACATGACAGACGCAAATGAAGAGAGACCAGGGCGATAAGGCAGAGAGGGCCAGATGAGCTCATCACAGAAGATCTGACATCTAGAAGACGAAGATCTTGTCTCTCTGGACGGTGTCAAGGTCGTCGTCCATGGTCAGGAGGACCTAGGGGGGGAACAGGAGAGGTGAGGGGTTTGTACACAGAGCTTCCTGTTCTGCGGATTCCAATTTTTAACTATCTTTTAAGTTTTGTATTTAAATGTCATATATATTGAGCTCATATTTACTAAAATACACAAACGTGATCATACCAGGAAGGATCCAAACATGGCGATGGAGGAGAGAAAGTGCCAAATGTCGTGGTCGTCAAAGAATGAAAGCAAGATGCAGTCCCTGTTGTGCTCACGAGATTCTGCTGGAGTTTTCTGTCAGGAAAGAGAAACACACACACATTAAACTTATGTCACATTATGTAGGTATGGCGTCATTTGAGAAATAGTCCATGTGTGCTCTCACGCCAAAAATTTAAGTCAACTAGGTGTGTAAGGCTAATGCTCTTTCTGTGTGACTAAGTATAGGGGTGCGAGTTACTGACCTGCCAGGTGCTAAGGCCCTGGAAAAAGAAATACAGCGCAAAACCCCACACCACGGCTGTGAACAGAATACACACTAACGCCAGACACTGGATTCTCTCACCGCTCCGCAGCTACAACACACAAACACACAGGGTAAAACAGCTTTAAATGTCCCATAGATTTCTACTTTAAAAACATGGATATACACACAAACGCACACCTTCATAATGATGTAAAAGGCAAAGTAGAGCAGCAGGTTGCAGATGGCGATGGCCAAAAGGTAGGAGGCAAAGTCGTTAGGTCTCTCTATGAGGCCGTAGGCAGCTCTGTAGAGAAGGAGTAGGGAGAGGCATGTAGGTGATGTCATCATTTAGTCTTGGTGCTGTGAATTTACATTTTTAATGTCTCTACTTAGCACCAAGTAAAAGCAGAAAACACACTGTGTTTACTTACAGAGACCAGTTGACTATGTTCCCCATTACGAGCAGAACCATACGGTCCTGTCAGACAGACAGAAGGGGAAGATGACGATCAATGCAGGACACAGAGATGGCTTTGACATTGAATATTCAAGCACTGGATACACATAGAAGCATAATAAATGACACAATCTTATCCTGAACTAACTAACTGACACACCTCGATGTTCTTTACACAATATTGATCAGGGGTCAGAGGTCATGTCGTGTTTTGGACCCAGATGAAACACCGTGTTTCACACTAACAGCATATATGACAACGACACTATTATGGCAATGTTCTGCTTGTAACCTGATTAAAAATAGCCCATCAATATGAACAATAACAAACTTGGACTTCTGTTTCTTTCAAATAAACATGTTGATGCAGACGTTTCTGCTCATTACTCACTATGTACATGGGTCCGCTGCACTGTCTGATGCAGTCTGTGTAGATGATGTACACCATCCTGCGTAGGACCCCGGAGTCTGACACAAATATACAGACGGATGTTAGCTGCAGTCGAACACTAGTACAAAGTGTGAGGATCAAATCCACAGAGCCCACACAGCAAATATCAAGGTGGCACTTAAAAATTAACCTATATTATAGTTAAATTGTGTTGCTACACATTTAATCAGGAAGATTTCCATGAAGCACTACTGTTACGCTACGCATTAAAACTGATAAGCTAAACAGAGCTAGTGTAAAGCATGGTGTTACCACTGACTTAAATATTCAATTGTCTCTAAAATGATCATGCACGATGTCTATTAACAGATGTGTGCACTTGGTTGAAAACAACAGAAGGGAAACGATTACATAAAAGGAAACCACAACAGAGTCAAATGGACCGCCACTAATATCGAACCATTATGATTCCAGGGGCTTAAAACAGGAGATTTCATGTTTCTTGCTGTGATCTTACCCAGCCTCCATCGGCCCATGTAGTACAGCTGTGTGCTCAGGAGGAGAGTGGCCAGAATGTGGATCACTGAGAAAACGATCCAGAAGACGGTGTTTCCTTTCCCAAATACCTGCAAACAGACCCGTCACAAACACGAAGAAACGTCTATGTGTGTTTCTGCGTGTGTTAAACGTCACCCGGGTCTTGTCCATCAGGTGGTGTATACTGTATGTGTGTGTGTACGCACCACTCCCAGCACAGAAAAGAAGATGACGGCAGCCAGGCAGGCGTAGGCAGTGTAAGCACTCGCGTTGATGTCTGGGTGTCTCTTCTGATACAACTTCAACACACACAGTCCAGCAATCATGTACATGAAGGAGGTGTCTGCAGAGAAAGACAGCAACATCACAACAGACACATCTACCTTTAATTATCTAAAACAGAGGTTTTCAAAGTGGGAGACAGGAGTTTCGGGGGAGACTCAGAGAATGGAAGTAAAAAAATGTTACATTAGTTATCATTTTGTTAAAGAGAGTTCAGAGATCCAGTAGTTTGGGGGAATTTTACCGTTTTTTCCCCACTTTCCCAGAGTCAGAAAGTAATAAATGCTTTAGGATGGACCTTTTTTATGTATTGGCTGTAGTCTGAAGTTATGTCAAAAAGAAATGTTTGGCTGCCTTGGCTTAAATGTTGAGTGTCTATTGGATAAAATAACATAATCATGATTCATTAATCTGATGATTCATTATTATTGTCTTATCATCTCAAAGACACAACATCAACCTAGTGATTCTGCTACAAGAACCGTCAAGATGCTACATGAAGTCCTAGTGGGAACACAAGCGGCCTTACCAAACTGGAAGTTGGTGTAGTTGGGACAGACGTGGTAGCAGGCGCTGAGCAAGCCCTCCATCATCAGAGCAGTTCCCATCGCATAATACAGACCGAAGTGCTTTGGGATACCACACTCCTGGGTGGGGTGTGGGTGGCATAGATGGAAATTAGAACTAATAATTGAGCAACATAAATAATACTTTTGACACAATATTCCAAATGTACTGTGTGTTCCTGATGTGCCTGTATCTTCCCTTCACTACTTCCTATTTCCAATTTTTTAATGCAATAAGCAACCTGCAGCTGTGGTGTACGAAGAGCAAAGAGGTGCTGTTATGCACATCACAGAGCAGGGTGTATTATGTTTGCTGGGTGACACACACATTGTGAGCTATTGTATTTTTTACGCGGTATATGTCAAGTCTGTGTGCGTGTGTCTTACCAGCGCGTTGACATCGTTGCGGACCAGGGCTCGATTGTGGACGATGTCTCTTTTGAGGACGATGAGGAGGAAGAGGAGCCCCAGCATCACGTAACCAAGGTTGCTGAGGATGTTGTTGAACGCGCTGGTGTACAGACAACAGTTCGGTATGAGTCTTCACATTACTTCAAACACAGGCATGTAATCTGTTAGCCATACTGTGGTTGTAATAATACATTTGTGCACCTAAACAGACACACACACACACACACACACACACACACACACACACACACACACACACACACACACACACACACACACACACACACACACACACACACACACACACACACACACACCTTAGAGCTCCCAGCGGGTGGGCACACAGGAAGTTGTAGAAGCAGATGTCTTGGTTTCCTGTAACATTGACAACCTGAAGGACACAGACAGTTTAACATCCATCTACACTGCACATCAGTGTTTTGATGTCATTATTTTTTTCAAATCTTATAAATCACAGTTTATGACTAGTCAGCATACCGTCTGATAGGTGATGACCAGCTGGACGACTGGCAGGGCATAGAACACAGCAATAGTAGCGATGTTCCTGGAGAAAAGAAGATAATCGTTAGACTTGTTTAGAATCATGATGACAGGAAGGATGCTCGAATAATAATAATAATGTTTTTCTCACTGTTAACAGC